CTTCAACTTCTATCGAGAGCTTCGAGTGGAGTCCCATGCATGTCAAATAGGATTTGCTATGCCCTAGGCCTACGTCCCTTTGCCATGTCCGACGTATGACCATTGGGTCAAGAGGGATTTCAATGTCCTATGTCCGTCTGTTGTCTTTTGGATGGTTTACTTTTATAAGTGTCTAATATGGCGTATATGTTCAGCGGTCATGTCCAGTATTATATGTCCACACTGTTCGTCCAAGACATATGTATACGGTCATATATATCGAGTCTATTTTATGTCCCTCTAAAGTCTTTGCTGAAGAAACCAGAGTCACCGATAGATGGAGCAACTCGAAATGCGGGAAGGAACTTTGCTCGCGGAAATCTACGGGCGTCGTTATACTAGGTCTTTAGTCAGCCTTTCCTGACTCTGAGGAGGTATCTATTGTATCGGATGAAGAAATGTCGCCACTAAACGTGGTAGACGTTCATCGGTTATCCCACACGATGCAAATTTTTTAGTACATATTAATCCCCTGATATAAGCTATCAAGACGTTATCTGGTCATAGAAGACTTGAGAATGACATATCCATGAGGTATGACCCTGCATATGTCTTTTGGACTCATTTTAGTATGTCTTCCTTATGTCCCTGAGATGTCTTTATGGCACAGTCCAAAATTTGAAACAAATGGACATGACTTTTAGACATAGAATGGACACTATAAAGACTAAGGCTATATGATGTCCTTGCTATGTCTAGTCTTAAACATGTCTCTTGGCTCGTCAGGGCATGCACCTCTTCCTTCAATTTCTCCAGCATTTGCTCCAATTCAAGAATTTGAGCTTGCATTCTTGACAATGCATCCTGCTCAAATTTAGACACCTGCAAAGAGATCAATTTTACAGTTTTACTAAGAGCTGTTTTGATACTTTAGCTGAACAAGTTGTAATTTATGAATCTAAGACTGCAGGTCCTGGCTCAAGTCCTTCCTTTGCAGAAAAGATGTGTTTGCAATAAAGAGGAACAAAAAATATCAGTTTGCACAGGTGATACAAAATGTGCAATCTGAAGGTCATAAAAAAAAAATACTCACTGCTGACGAAACAGCCTCCTCGACCCGCTTATCAATATATTGATTTAACAGCAACATGGCTGGATCATCAGCTACATCATAAAAAAAACAAGAATCAATCTGCTGGTTGATGCATGTCCTTGAAACTGCCCAAGGAGAAATTTGAGCACTAACTGTCAGCATGGTGTCAAAATGGTCCCTTATTTTGACGTCATGCTGACAGTCAGCGCTAAAATTCCTCTCAGTCATTGTATGCAATATAGAGCTTAAAATGATTTCCACCAAAGGGCTGATATAATTAAACACCCAATAACTCAGCAGGCGACAGGGTTAAACTTGACATTTAAAAATGAAAAGCTCCTCCAGCAGTATCTTGAGAAGAGCCCAGGTTATGTAATAACTAGGAGGGTAGGTGGAACACAATCGTCAAAATCTCGTAAATGACCAACAATTAGCTCAATATTGCTGCCCAGCAGCACCAAATTTTACCGGATAGAGACGAAATGAGCACATTTTGACAAACGTGTCCTAAACTCCTACGGTAAAATTGCTCACGCATATAAAATTTGGGGGCCAACAAAAATCAAAAGAATATATATATATATGTTGATTCATTATTATAATTATTAAAATTTACTTACGAAGAAGGTCACTCATTTTGAGATCTCAAAATTCTGCCCAATATTGCCCGCTGAAGGCAACTGACAAAAATGACAGTGTCAAGGTCAAGGACAGAATTCGGAGGCAGTTTGGAGGCGGCTACGGGGCTGGTTAGCTGTAGAAAAGGAAAGACGATAGGACACAGGGAAGGCCAAGAGTACCAGTTTAAGACGGAAAATGAAGCATTTTACGCATTAATTGCAGTACATCTGTTGATAACAGCACAAAATAGCACAGTTTTCACCACTTGCAAGCAAACATTATTCTTCTTCAAAATAGTTCAATTTTTTTTTTTTTCAAATTACTTTTTCTAGAAACTATGGCAAACGAGCAGAGGGAGGACGATCATCGATATGTTTAACCAACCTCGCCACAAGCTCCTAAATATCTTAAGGTTTTAACAGCTATTAAAATGCTATAAAGGTAAGTACAGTACCAGCAAAATCATTAGAAAAATTACCAAATCACTAGGGAGCAATCCAAGGTCAAATTGCTTTAGTTTTTACTGGGGCAGTGCGTTGGGTAAAATTTTCGTTGTTGGCTGTACTGCATCTCATATTGTTTTTCGCCACCAGAGTTCGCCCTTCACCCCACAGGCTCAACGGCATTCCGGCATTCTGTCCTTGAGGAAGGTCAGTACCAAGGTGAACGTACGGAGTTGTCAATTACAGCAGGACAGTTCAGATTTTATTCTTATAAGTATGGATAATATGGAGGACCCTGGGAAGATGCGTCTAGTGGCAAGGAAGGTAAGCAGTTGGCTATGATTACCTGGGTTTTAAGTGGCTGCAGTCTGCTGTTGGCCTTCGGCTGCATGAACCTGCTCTACCATCAATCTCCCAGTGACAATTGAGTTTACTCCAATGTCGATTTGATGTTTCGACGTCGAAACAGTCGAAAAACCGTCATATTTCCCCCCAAATCCACATCTTTTCGATATTTCGACGTTGAATCTTCGAATCGACGTTCCCATTTCTCACGAGGCTCATTTATGACACTTTCGTTGATATCTGGATTTTCTTTTCTGATTATGGTCCTTTATTCTATTTTTGTTCGCCTATAGGTCGTCACAACAACGACCTCTGTCGAATATTTTTCGATAGGCACTTTCGATAGGTCTATACCACCACCTAATATTTTGGCCAATGTGCCACCGCCTAACGTGGCAAGCAGAATACCACCACCACCACCTGCCTTGACATGCCCGGAGAAAGATCCTGGTTTGGGCCATTCCTCTCAACAGCAACACCCCACAAATAACTACTCTGGAACTGGATTTTCTGCACCACCTCCTGAGGTAAGTGTAGAAGTTTTGGTTGAGCATTAGGGAGGATCATTAGTTCACTGTATCAATAAAGTTTCACTCCGTTTGTCTGTACGTATGCACATCAACTTTTGATTGTTGAGTTTGCAGAGCCTGATTTCTCCTTTCCTTTCTCTTTCATGTTGTTTAGCAGACTAGTACTGCGGGTCCTTCACGCCAGGGTCAACCCATTCAAGAACAATTTGATTTTCGCATTCCCAGTGCATCTTGGCGTCAACACCCTACAAATGACAACACTGGAATAGGGTCTTCTGTGCCACCTCCTGAAGTAAGTTAAGAAGTTTTGGTTGAGCGTAAGGGAGGGTCATTAGTTCACTGTGTGGAGATTCCTATCTATTATTATATTTTGCTATAAGTGTTTCATTGTTAGGGTGCTTACGTTTGCAGAGCCTAATTTGTCCTTGCCTTCTTTTTCATGTTGTTTAGCAGACTAATAGTGCTGGTCCTTCACGCCAGGGTCAACCCATTCAAGGACAATTTGATCTTGGCTTTCCCTATGCATCTCAGCGGCAACAACCCACAAATGACAACTCTGGAATGGGGTCTTCTGTGCCACCTCCTGAAGTAAGTTAAGAAGTTTTGGTTGAGTGTAGTTCATTGTATCAAAGTTTCATTTCGTATATTCGTATGTATGTATGCACAACTACTTTTGATTGTTCAGTTTGCAGAGCCTGATTTCTCCTTTCCTTTCTCTTTCCTGTTGTTTAGCAGACTAGAAGTGTGGGTCCTTCACGCCAGGGTCAACCCATTCAAGGACAATTTGATCTTGGCTTTCCCTATGCATCTCAGCAGCAACACCCCACAAATGACAACTCTAGGATGGGGTCTTCTGTGCCACCTCGTGAAGTAAGTTAAGAAGTTTTGGTTGAGCGTAGTTCACTGTATCAAAAAAGTTTCAATTTGTTTATGTGTTTGTATGCACAACTACTTTTGATTGTTCAGTTGGCAGAGCCTGATGTTTTCCTTGCCTTCTCTTTATGTTTTTGTGTAGATTAGTAGTGCGGGTCCCACACAGCAGGGTCAACCCATTCAGCAACAATTTGATTTTGGATTTGAAGCATTTCGGCAGCAACACCCCGGAAATGACAACTCTGGAATAGGGTCTTCTGTGCCAGCTCCTGAAGTAAGTTAAGAAGTTTTGGTTGAGCGTAAGGGAGGGTCATTAGTTCACTGCTGTGTGGAGTTTCATTCCGTTTGTCTGTCTGTATGGACAATAACTAGTAGGAATTGAAAAAGCAATCTTAAAATTAAAAATTTACAGTGTACAATGGGAAGAAAGATTCATATCTATTAAAATATTTTGCTATAAGTGTTTAATTGTTTAGGGTGTTTACGTTTGCAGAGCCTAATTTGTCCTTGCCTTCTTTTTCATATGTTGTTTAGCAGACTAGTAGTGCGGGTGCTTCACGCCAGGGTCAACCCATTCAAGAACAATTAGATTTTTGCTTTCCTCATGCATCTCGGCAGCAACACCCCAAAAATGACAACTCTGGAATAGGGTCTTCTGTGCCACCTCCTGAAGTAAGTGCAGCTGGCCTTGCATCTAGTGGTGTGCCCCCTCCTCAGTCAGCTCTTCCTGCTTGTAAAGTAAGTAATGTTTATATGTATTTTTTTTCATCTTACATATACATCACTCAACAACCTACCTTAAACTTCAGGATTGGCTGTGTCAGAAACTTTTGTTCTGCTGCTTGAGTTATTTTCTCAGAGAATTTCTCATCTCATGTTAAAACAGATTGGCAGTGATCTTCTTTTTTTTTTGTTTGTGACTCTTTGCTCTTTTCTGTAAATATTAATGCATAAACAAATAGCCAATTTTTATTTATAATTATATTGAATAGCTTGTGAGATGGAATCCAAGTAAGAAAAGGACCAGAATTGTAAATAACACTGCTTGCCGTGCAACCATTTGTGGTTAGAAACCCTATTGCGCATTGGTTGGGGTTAGTTATTTGGATATGGTGCAATGTTACATAGCTATTCAGCAGTTTTTTCCCTTCACTTCTTTATAGGTTTTAACTTCCATGGTTGTTTTGGATTAAGGGTTACATCTTCTTTATATTTCATTTCTTTCTTGTTCCAGCCAAGCGCAAGCCACCAAAATAAACCTGGGTCATCAACCGGTGGTGGTGAAGTCACCAGAGATGTATGTATTGTGTGATCTTCCTTTAAGGGGTGGCTATAGTGAAAATGGTCTGTGATGAGCAGGTAGGGGTTTAGAGGGATTTTTATTTTTTTTAGAATAAATCTAAAGTAATAAAGCATTTGTCTGAAGTTTGTATCTTTCAGCTGTTCAAAAGTTATAAACTAAAGATTCTATTTGCAAGGCTTAACCCAAACCGTCTCCTTCGCATCAATTTTGTTCCAGCAAAAGTTGGATGTTTATAATTTATAATCTGAAACGGAAGGGCTATAGTTCTGACAGACCACATTTTTAAATTTGTGTTTTATTTTATTTTTTGATGCAGACATTCTTCTACAATATTTCATAGCATTATAAATGGCCGAAATTCAATTCTTATCATTTTAAACATAATTCAAGGGGAAGAAAGAACAAATTCTGTTCTATCATAGAAGTGTTGCGGGGACACACTTATTAAAATTATTATTTTCTCTGGCAGGTTACTCTAAGCCCAATGCGCAGGAAGTTTTTAGATCGTTTAGTAAAAAGGTCTAAATAGTGTTTGGTTGTTAGTAAACAACAATACTAATATGATTTTCAATGTATAGTGGGATGAAAAAGTGTTCCTCAGACCAAGAGATGTTGGTGGCATACACAAATGTGAATAGGTTGCTTGTATGATTCAGTTACTGTACTCAATGCCTGAAGGGTCATTATTATCCAAAGTCACAAATTTTTCACTTATAGCATCCCTTAAGCAATGTAATTGTATGTCAGCTGTCTGTTAAACCTTTAACCCTGATGTTTTGTATCTCAGCTTCCATGGCTGCTGAGGTCACGGCACGCACTGACAGACAGACCTGCCCACTCCTCTGATTCTGACAGTGATTTCCCTGACGAGCCGAAAGACATGGAAATGACATGAATTTTATGTCTTCGTATGTACATGCCATGTCCCAAATGTCCAAAATAAGTCTTAATTATGGCAATACCATGTACAA